AAAGAGATTTTCAAGTGACCACGAAACTAGAGGAGAATGAGGAACTCTAAGCAAGAATGTTACCATGAAAAAAGTGAGAAGATCAAGAAAAGCAAATGCTGCAAAATTAGGACAAGAAAGAGAAGAAGCTCACACATACACACACACACACACACACACACACACACACACACACACACACACAATAACAGAATCAAAACACCAACCTAAAACAAAACAGGAAATATTGATTAGGGCATATAAATATGTACTTGCACATAAAGAAGCAATACATTTAGAGAACTCATATCTGGAAAGTTCCATTTTTCTTAATGAAAGAGTAAGCAAGGGCTCCTCCTGAAAGAGAACTGGGCAGGAGCAAAGCAGAGGGCTCAAAGAGACCGACAAGGGCTTGTAGTAGCTATTATGGAACCCTAAGAAGAAAGAACATCTAAGAGAATCCCAAAGCAACACAGAGAGAGCAGCTGAAGTTAGAAAATACATATTTACTATCAAACTATGTCATATAGTCTCTGCTCAATTACCTGAGTACCAGAAAAGATAGAGAATTGAACTGGCTTAAAGTTGGGCAACTGCAGGCAGATAACTCTGAAAAAGAATTTTTTTTAAGACATGCCAAAAATAATAATAATGCAGCGAAGCACCTGGAGGTCTTCAGACAGGGAGGAGAGCAAAACCATGAAGGGCTGAGAGAGTGATGGGGGGAAATGAGCTAAATATTACATTTTAATATCAAGAAATTAGAAAAATCTGTAAGTTTGTAAATGAGATAACAATATGAACTTATATGTCCTTTTCCTTCTCTTGAAGAATAAATTATAACTTCTACATTTTCTCCTCCCCTACAATACACTAGCTTTTAAAACCCATGGTTGGTCTATCACCAACTCCCTTGCTTTGAATTAGATAAAGAAATTCATCTGAGAATGAAGAAAAGTATAAGATATCTTCATACTCTCCATAGAGCTTACTATATACTGAAGAAAACAACATAAAAACAACAGAACAATAAGAGCCATGAAGTTCACATGGCAAATTGTGTGATATAAGCAAGAGCAAGAAAAATTCAGAATAGGCAGGGAAGCCTTGAAATCTAAAATGCAGTTTCTTCTTTCATGATAAATAAGATACCTGTCAGTATAGGGAATTACAGATGGGGCAGCAGGAGTAAAAATAATGTTGTATAGGCATTGGTATGCAAAAAAGACTAAGAGAAGATTCATTTTAGTCAATAACTAGAGAACAGATCGTATAGAAATTGGGGCCAGATTATGAAGCATCCAGGACATTTTAGCACAGACTGAGAATAAGCAGAGAAGGATCACGGGATGACGTGGGGTGTCCAAAAATAAAAACATTTTATGGAAGTTTTTCTCCCACTAAAGTGCATATGTGTCTGATTAGATGATCGATACATTTCTGAAGGGGAAAGAATGGACTGTATATTATTGCAGTATAACAGATGAGGACATAGACCCTACTATGAATTGAAGAACTGCATCTAGTAAGAATCAGTATGGTTGTACATTAATTTCAAATGTAGATCTGTTATAAAAAATAATGATTATAGTGTACCTTAGAAATGTGTAAAATATATTTTACATCATTAGCAAAAGTGACCTAATTTATCATACTAACAATCATTTAAAAATAAAAGTTACTACTAAACTCTATTTACCAAGAAAATTTACCATTTTTAAAAGCATATAATAGAGGAAATAATACTTACTGCAATGCTTTGAATGTCTCAAAGTTTCATCAGCTTTCATAGTCTTACACAGTTCCAAGTACTGAATACACTGTTGAACAGCTGTAGTTATCTGATGAAATAATAAGTTATTAATTCCAGAACTTTGCAGCCCTCAAGTCCAAGAATTAAAAGAAATTAGTCAAAGCTGTAAAAATGCTTTGGAGAAATATTTAAGAAAAATATTTAGAACAGTACCTTTCCAGCTCTTAAAGCTCAGCCTTCTCAATTACATTTTAACTATGGCATCACTCTGGTGAACACTGTGAAAATATTTGTGGACCAACAAACATAATAATGTTATAATGTTGGTGTCACTGGACAGAAATAAATACGTACTTTTTATTTTATAGTAAAAGATGCAAAAACTCTGGCCATGGCCGTAACTTTAGAAACTATCTTGTCCAGTTCCCTCGCCTTAGAATCTTTTCCTCCTACCCAGCCAGCAAAATATCAAGTGGATCAAGCCTTTATTTCCATCTCAAATACCAGAATTGCTAAAAACTGTTAAAGAAAAATCTCATAATTCAAAGAAAAGAGTCACAATAAAAAATGATTTCCCACCCCTACTCTAACAGTGATTCTCCTATTAGTCTCCATTCTAACCTCTCATTCTCTTCAAACCTTCTCCCCTTTCCTCAGCACCTACCTACTCATCAATGGCCTCTTATCCTAATTCCCAAACAAAATAAAAGCCACCAGTGATATATAGTGTGATAATTGTTAAGTTTGGTAACAAGGCAGGAGTTGATGGTCTTGAAAAGATCAGTTTCATAGGAGTTTGGTGAACAAAGCCAGACTATACCAAATAAAGGAATAGGAAGTGAAAAAGTAAAAGGAGTATAATTTTTATTTTCAGGAAAGACAGCTGAGGAAAATTTTAAAAATAGACAAACCACTGTACCTTGGAGTCAATATTAAACTCTTTTTCGGGTTAGAAGGATATGGTTATGATTAAATGTTACTGGGGGAAGCCAACAGAGAGGAAGAGTTTGACTATAAAAGAGAGAAAGGGGATAGGTGATAGAAAAAAAATACCCAATAGGAAGAAGCAGATGGAATCCAAGTGGAGGGAAGGATTAAGCTTCAGATGCAAAAAAAAAAACGAAGGTTTGAAAAGGAGCAAGTTCATAATTGCAGCATCAGGGAATCAATGGATTTTCCCCTATCATTCATTCTTATGGCCTCTTAACTCGTTAAGAGGCCATAAGAATGAATGATAGGGGAAAATCGGTAACATGGCAGGACTTCTATCTTTAGAAAGGCCTCCTTACAAAGTGGGATTTTATAACATCTAGGAACTTGGATTTCAGGAGAGCTCTCATCATTCTGAGAAATGGGAATGGCTGACAATGTTTGCACAAATGATATGGTTTATGATGAATACCTGCTCCCCTTCAAGGAGTCTTGGACCCTGGTATGTACAAGGCAGAGGGTTTCTATGTGATCAGCACCCCCTCCTCAAAAACAAAAACCAGGCACTGACTTTTTAATGAGCTTCCCTGGTATATACCATTTCACATAAGCTGCCACATAAGTGGGCGCTCAACAATGAGAACACATGGACACACGGAGGGGAACATCATACGTCACGGCCTATGGGGGGATGGGGGGCTAGGGGAGGGACAGCATTAGGAGAAATACCTAATGTAGATGACGGGTCGATGGGTGCAGCAAACCACCATGGCACGTGAATACCTATGTAACAAACCTGCACATTCTGCACATGTACCCCAGAACTTAAAATATCATTAAAAAAAAAAAAAGTTGCCACAATTCAGTGCAGAAAGAACTAAGTATGTCTTGTGTGATTCTAACGGGAAAAAGACTCTTCAGAAGCTGTGTCTTCCATACTCAACCAATGAACTTTTTCCTCTTTGCTGATTTTAATTTGTATGCTTTCATTGTTATAAATAATAGCTGAAAGCATAACTATATGCTGAATCCTATGGATCCTCCTAGCAAATCATCAAACCTGGGGTGTGTCTTGGGGAACCCTGCCCTTCCCATATCTGCATGTCTTGTCTAAATCAGACATCAAAGATCCACACCCAGGCCTCCTAGAAATCTGCATTTCCAATATGACTAAATCTACTAAATCTAAAAATCATTAATTTCTCTAGCAAATGTTTTACTTATTTACTGTGTTACTTATCTCAATGAATGACATGAATCATCAATTGTCTGAGGCCTCAATCACAACTCCCTCATTCAAAAGTCCTCTATATCCTATGTTCTAAATAGAGTATTTCTGAGTCCATCCACTTATCCCAGTTCTGTCTTATCCTTCTTCCATGGTTCCATCATCTTTTGCTTGGATTATTACAGTGTATTAAACATTGTTTTGCTTCAATAATTCTCCTCTATCTCAACCTAGAACCTTCAATCCATTTTCCAACAGAAAACAAAACAAAACAGAAGGGAATAACAATAACAACTTTGTTATTTTATAACACTTTGGGGAAGTTTTGACATGAAAAAAATTATAAAATAATACACTTAAGAGACGCTCTAAAGAGTTAGAAAACAAAAGAACAAACAATAGTCCATTTCTTTAACTGAAAACTCAAAACACTGTCTCCAAAGGAATCGCTCTCAAAGACTCTTTAGTTCATTCAAACCTTTAGAAATCCACCCTCCTGGCTGGTCCGAAGGTAGTGAGTTATCTCAACTGATTGTTCACAGTCAGTTATACATCGAACTCCTTGTTCTACTCTTTCCCCCCTTCTCACTACTGCACTTGACTAGTCTTAAAAAAAAAAAAAAAAAAAAAAAGAAATCCACCCTCCTTGCAGCCAGTTCTACCCAGCTTTATCTTCACCATCCACTTACACTTCCTTCTTTTCCTTTCCCTTATATTTTCTTAAACACGCTATCTTTATTTGAGAAAAGGTAGCAATCACAAGAAAGAAAAGGAACAATCTCAGGACAGGATCAATCACATTACATGACATCCCTTTAAACCACAGGAACAGAAAGCAGATCTATAGTAAAGTGAATTTAAACACTAGCCTAAAGAGTCAAGTTGAGAGTATAATGAATGATTTTTCTAACCCCTGTGAAAATAGACAGAAAAATTTGCTATAAAATTCAGGATTGTATTTGATACTTATTGCCCTATACTATCAAATATATAACAGTCAGTTCATTTAATTGTTAACCCCTAAGACACAAATTTTACAAAAAGGTGAAATACAATAAGACAGGAAAAACCAAGGGAGAATTTAAATAACCAAGCTGTCAAGTCATTTTTTAAAATGACTTTCAAAGAGCAGTAAAAATGGTACTACATAAAGCCATTTCCGAAACCATTCCTTTAGAGGTAGACTGAATAAAGATTCAAATTGTTAAAAATTAAAGGTTAAATATTTATCCTGACAGCCAAAACTTTTAACCAGTTTATGACTTTGAGATGCTATGGAAACAAAGATTAACTTTTTCAGGGATCTCTATAAAAAACCAACAGCACATACAAAAATTGATAGCTTAATGTTACCTACTGAAAATACCATAAACATATGACAGTATAGAACCACATAAATACAGTAGCCACCAACCACATGGCTAGATTTATATTAATAAAAACTAAATAAAATTAAAAATACAGTTTCCCATTTATAGTCACATTTCAAGTTTTCAGCAGTCACATGTGTCTCGTGGTTACCGTATTTTACAATGCAGATATTTTATCACTGCAGAAAACATCAGAGAGCGAGCACTGATGAGAAGCTAGAGGAAATAGATCAGCAAATCATCATGCTAAACAGGCTGCTATAAGTAAAGTTCTTACACAAGAATCACTTATAGAATAGAAACACAAATTGATTGAGTAGTCTGCAATTTCCATCACAGATGCACAAAATTTGACCCTTGATTCTGAAAATACAATGGGAATAAACAGATCTTGCATTGATTTTCCCAAATGTTTATTTTCAAAAGTGGGGCCAAGTTTACTTTTAAAAAATAAATATAATATACATAACCTTTTGATATTTTATAAATTTAGGAAAACTTTTTAGAGCAAATGAGGTTTAAGTTGAAATCTCAAACAAGTTTGACTCACTATATACATAAAATGAAATATTTGACTAAGTTGATAAAATATTAAGATGATTTACAATGATGTGATTCCATTTGCAGGTTAAAAGTTAAGGTATAGTTAACTTTTCAAATAAGAAACCAATGTTAAGAATTAATCTATAAAAAAAACTTATAAAACACTTTCACTAAGGGCCTCTGTGATAGCAAAAATTAGTTATCTGTTTATAAACCACTGAGAAAAAAATAATCCTATTCTTTATTTTTCCTTTCTCTATTCTAGCAAGATTGGTCTATATTCATAAAGCAACAACAAATTTTAAAATGGGAATGAGAGAAAAACAATATCTGGGAAGATTTATTTCAATTCAATTTCTCTAAAAATTGTTAAGTATATTTTACCTTTACAAATAAATTCTTATCTCATTATTCAATATCCCTCTCTTATTCTGCTGCTCAATTCTCTTGATTCTCAAACACAAAACAATTATTGTTCTCCTTCCTTCATTTTATGCTCTACTGCACTCAAACAAAAATCGCAATTCTGGAATCTCTTCTTCACCTGACTTCTAAACTCAAGGGTCTGCCTAACTACATAAACCATGTTTATTGACCCAAAGTTATATAGTGTAACATTTGAATATCTTAATACATTTTATGTTTTCTATTTTGTCAATTATTTATAACACTTGCTGATTTTTTTTTAATTCCTTTCAGTGTCCTTACACATTGTTCTACTAATATTAACAAATGTAGATGATTTTGGTAACATATTTTAGAGTATTAAGTCTACATTTGGTATAACTCAAACCAATAATTACAAATGCAAAAGTATTTATCGTTCTCAGTTCTGCCATGTAATTTTCACTGAAAAACATGGGTATGTATTATAGAAGTAATGGTGTTATTAATACTTGATCTGAATCAAACTACATGCTACTGCTTAAAAATAAGGCTTCTCTCAAACTAGCTTGTTATTTATAGAAGCCAATTTACTATATACATAAAACATATTTTCTAATTGTTATCTTGACTGCATTTTAAGTCTCTATTTTTATCCTTTTATGTTTCACAGGATGGTGGTCTAAGGTCACATAAAAGGCAAATTGCTTCATTATCCAGTATGAATCATCAGCACTCAACTTTGCAAATTCAAGTTAGTACATCATATATATTTTGGTGGTATTATTTTGCAACATAAAAACAGAATTACAGACTTACCAGAGACTTATATTTCTTTTCAAGAAGTCTTAATACAGTAGTTCTGCTATAATGTGCATGCTAAAATTAAAAGGAAATGATATTTAATACTCAAGCTGTGCCACTCAAAATCTATTTTTCCTGCATCATTTCCAATAAAAACATCATAAATCACACAATAGTTTAGGATTAAATCATTATAGTCAATGACAGACAGGTGTTTATATGTGCACTGGATTACAAGCATAGCAATCACAAGAATGCAAATCACATCAAAACTTTGCAGATCATTTAGTGGCCGATCAGTAGAAAAACATTCTATCCATCAATTGTGTCCAATTTCAAGCTAAAATATTTTAAAGGCACCACCAAAAAGTATACCTACCAGCCTATGACAGAATCCAAAGAAAAGATACATGTAGCAAAAAAATAAAAATAAATAAATAAATAAGTACAACCCTCATGCTGAATAGGATACTGTATGGTCTACCTGTGCAGAAATTTGACAACGCTGAAATGCTCCAAAGGGACAGTACTCTAATCATTTTCTGCCAACCATATTTAAAAATGATTCAAAGTGTCAAAAGAGATTTAATTCTCTCCTTGGAGCAAAATATAAATGGAATTGAAACATGTAAATGCATAGTATTGTAAAAAGCTAGGGAAAACTATAAATATTGTTTAGCTAGATTAAGTAAGATATCATTAGTGTTCAAAATATAGTTTCTTCATTTCACTTAAGAATAAAAATATTGGCCGGGCACAGTCACTCACACCTGTAATTCCAGCACTTCAGGAGGCTGAGGCGGGCAGATCATGAGGTCAGGAGGTCAATACCAGCCTGGCCAATATGTTGAAACCCTGTCTCTACTAAAATACAAAATTACAAAAATACGAAAATTAGCCAAGCATGGTGGTGCACGCCTGCAGTCCCAGAAGAATCACTTGAATCCAGGAGGCGGAGGTTACAGTGAGCCAAGATTGCACCACTGCACTCCAGCATGGGTGACAGAGCAAGGCTCCATCTCAAAAAAAAAAAAAGAATAAAAATATTAAACAAAATAAGACAAGTCAAAACTTTTTCAGAATTCTAGGGAATAGAGAATTTTCATATTTTTTCTTTTTCTTTTTTTTTTTTAAATAAAGACTAGGTTCTGCTATGTTGGCCAAGCTGGTTTCAAACTCCTGACTTCAAGTAATCTGCCTTCCTTGGCCTCCCAAAGTGTTGGGATTACAGGCATGAGCCACCGCACCCAATCGGGAATAGAGTTTTTAATTAAACATTGATTAAATAGTGTTTTGGTTAACTGAAGGTTAATCAAAACTCTGTGTTTTAACTCTTGTAGCCTAAAATGTTTCAAAAAACTATTATCTTTTCTTCAACTTTATTAAAAGAAATAAGTTGATATAGTATTAAACTATTTTTAATATTGACCATGTTCAGAAAAGAAATCCTTATAGTGTATCTCTTAGACCAGGGTCAGCAAACTACAGCCTTCAGGTCGAATTCTGCCTAGACTCAATTTTGCAAAAAAAATTCACTGGAGGAGGAGGATCCAAGATGGCCGTTTAGGAACAGCTCAGGATTGCAGCTCCCAGTGAAAGCGCAGGGGGTGAGTGGACCCGCGTTTTTATTGCCCACAGACTAGGAAATTCCCAGGCAGAGGAGCTCCACGGTCGCCAGCGCGTCTGTTTCGGCCAGCACACCTGTGCTGGCCAGCGCCGCTGCTTTGCCCCGCGCCGCTGCTTTGTCGGCGCCCCGGAGCAGTGGTTCTCCATACAAAATACACCGGTCTGGGGGCCCTTTTGGCTGGCGATTGGAGCCGCCGGGAAGTCGCCCATTCACCGGTTCAAAAACGGGACTGAGCAGAGAACCAGGACAGTAGATTCCAGGGCAAAAAAAAAAACCGCCACAAACCTCATTACCGCTGTTTAAGCCAGCGCAGTGAGTGGT